GGTGGTGGTGGTGGTGGTGGTGGTGGTGGTGGTGGTGGTGGTGGTGGTGCAACAAGTAACGTCACTTCCCTCCACTCCCTCATAATGCTTCTGTGCTACCAAACAGGATTACGCTCACAATCGACATAACAAAGACACACTCCGCAAGTACAGATGGCTAAATAGCAGATGTCGAGCAAAATCTACGACACCACAGAACCGCTGCAGCCACAGTTGGTGATTGTCGCGGCCTTGACTTCCGATTAGGAAGGTAAAAACGCTATGTCAGATGCACAGTCTTTTGGGACGACTACCGTCCACATTTTATGCCACTGCAATCCACTCCATCTCCGTCAATGAGGCAATAATAACACGATCATCATGTTATTACACTGGCATTGACAGGCCGAGTACATCCCTCCACTCCCACCAGTAACCACAACAATTGGCTTAATGAGGACGCATGTGCATGAAGGCGACTGTGACACAGGCGTGCGAAAGGAAAGCGGCACCTGCTATTGCAAAAGTGATGCAAAGCTCACAGTTTGAATTGACAAATTGCCGACACTGAGCGCATCCACCTCAGTATTTATGCCAATGCAGTGAACATGACCAAACGGAACGCATCAGTGCAATGTCTTCTCGCACAAGCAGTGTGCGCACTCCACTACCACCACTCCGCATTGCTGCGTGGACATGAGATAAAGTCTGTTGTGCGATCGCCATTAACGCGATCGCTCAACATTTGTCAAGAAACCTCATTTACAAGACAAACCGCACATCACTTGGCGACTTTGTCAACGTGCATAAAACATTGCAGGAGGTCAATTCCGGTGAAGCCTCAACACACGTGGCTGCCTTGTTGCATTGATGTTGTGGCAGTGTGTGGCGAATGCAGGGCTCCATTTGGCGGGAAGTTGTGGCACGACATTTACAAACTGGGTGAAAATAGAGCTGAATGGTAGAGGATAAAGTGGGCGAGGAGGAGGAGGAGGAGAAGGAGGAGGAGGAGTGGACATCGGTTGCACGTTGCATCTGATTAATTTCCGGTGTCCATTCACTTACTTCTCAGCACTTCGTGGTGTCGTGATTTGCTGCAATTCACCGCACTTCATAGAGGCAGCAACCAGTGGGGCGAGAGGTTATCAACAGACGACGCACGTGTTGGTCAGTTAGAGGCGACAAAGTTGGAATAGATAGGGTGGTTGGAGGAGTACAGTGTGGGCATTATGCTTGAGCTGGTGTGAGGATTAAGAAGGAGGTAAGGAACGGGGAGGGGTGGCTAAAACGAAGTTGAGTGAGTGTGGGAGAATGGAGAAGATGGATGGCTATTGTAGTAGGAGGAAGGCCAGTGCAGCGTCGTAGAGGAGCAATCTCGTGGTGGTCCGTTATTTGTGTGTCGGAATGACACCGATCGACACCGGGACTGGGTCGCCGGTTAAGTCGCCGGTGGGAGGATGATTACGCGCAGACCGCAAGCAATGCTTTGGCAACCTGCACAGAGCGTTTTACCAGAGACAGCGAATGCAGAATGTGTCAGCATGCAAGTGTTTCCTTGTCGAATGAATGCCCACAATGGGACATCTTCTCCTCCAAATGGGAATGTAGCGGTTGATGGGAAGGTAGTTGGTCTCAGTCGCGTTGTGTGTGTGTGTGTGTGTGGCGCTGTAGGGGACGGGTTTCGCATTCCGATTATCTCCACACGCCTTCCATGTTGATGATGAGGAAGTGGGTTAAGACTTACTTACTCAAGTCATTGTAGCTAAAATGGGCATGAATTTAACAGGTTTGCGGATGGCCATTGTAGTACACAGTGAGTAAAAGTTGTCGGACGAAATCGCACCTTCGCCCATTCATGCCTCCTTCCCTTTGCATTTGGATGTTTAGGCAATGAGGACGACTAAGTACAACTAATTTGTGCTTCTTTTAGAAGCGCGGAAAGTGATGTGCAGCCTTGCCTTTCCTCTTCTGCTTTGGCTGTCATTCAATTGATTTAGTTGGAGTTGGATTTCACTGTGCATTCATAGGCTGTCCCTTGTTTGCTCTACTTACCGCTGTAAAGTGCCCTAGAAGCGTCAACTTGATGTAGTGTTCTTTGAAAGCGCCTTTAACTTTGAAACGAATGTGTGGAGAGGATTTGCCTTACTTTGGCGACCATGTCCTCACATTGTAATTCATGGTTTGGGTCTGACGTGAGCACTTGCAGCGGCACTTACTTTTGCCTTGCCGAAATCGTAGGTGCAATGAGCACTGTACGCTTGCAGATGCATCTGTTGCTGCCTTACTGACTTGTAATAGAAGTGGGAACTGTTGGTGAGAAGGACTAGGTTAACAACGGTGTATTAAGTGTTTCATTTGATGTGGATGGTTCTGTCTCACGTGCCTTTTATTGCATCAGGCTTTGTTGGATTTTGCGCTGAGGGAGTGCTTTTAACGATGCCACCGGAAAGTGGATTGTATGCATGGTTGTTAGTGGGCTAGGGGAAACGAATTTTCACATTCTAGTGCCTCTCGAACTGTTTCATATGCCGGTAAAAATGAAGTTGCTGTCATTGGATCGCGTGTTGATGACCTGCAAGTGAAGCGAATTCATTCGCGGTGAGGTCACACTAAGTGGGTGCTTCCCTGATCTCATTTAACATTTGTCTACCGTTTCTGCAGTCATGTGCAGGTGTTAGGTGACGGCCTGTTGGGAGGTGCTGAGTTGAGAGTAGATGTATCGTACTTCGACTCATCCCAATTCTTTCTGCGGTGCTGCTGTATGGAGCTGTTTAATATATAGAAAAGTAGCTTATAATCAAGGGTATACGTGTCTTGCTCTTCAAAGACATCATTCTCCTTCTATATGCTCACTCATATTGTTATTGCACCGTCATTAAAGTTGAGCTTTAGCACAGACAGAAGGGCGTTGCATGGATTTGTGTGGGTCTTAAATGAAGGATTGTGCAGAGATGTTCACAATGGGAAAAGTGGAGTGATGAGAGCACAATGGAGAAGAGTGAGCTGCAATCTGGGAAATATCACTCCAAGTCTGTCCTACTGGCATCGACATCAATGAGGACAGTGTTGGATTCCATGACAGCAAATTGATGTGCTATAAAGCTCATAAGAGTTCAGTACTCAGCTGCCGAATCAGTGGTCTTTATCCAATGTTGGCGTTCATTCTGCGATCTAACAGTCACTGGTTGGTATTTTATTTTCACCTTGCGAGTAACTCTCCTTATTCGGCCCTCAATTCGCAGTGTTTTGTCCGAGAAATGATTGATGGCATTGTGACGGTACAAAGCAGAGACGTTCATCTTTTGGAAGCTTTGAAGTCGTTCAAAGTCAGTGCGTTCAAAGGGGAGTTTTCAAAGCCCTTCCGATGACCACCAGTGTCATTGCGGTAAGGTTGACTGCAGTCTGATGACTCACGATGGGATAGCAAGGAGATTAGTGCAGAAATGGAGCATGTGGTGATAATAACAGACGGAGAACCATGTCCGGTGTCACACCACCGATGAAGGAGTTGAAACTGGTTTCCTACTCCTTCTACTAGGCTAATTTTTCTTCAGTGATCTGGTTTCCGCCTCTCTCAACTCCTAGTGACGTTCATCCCTTGTGTCTACGCGTTATTTTGGACGTTTATTTAGAATTGAGTGTAGGTGTAAATCGTCGGGCATTGGCATTTGAACTTGTTTATTAAAATTACTGTGTTTAAGTGTTGCAATGTCTAAAACAGAAGAACATAAGTTGGACTGTAAGAACATTTTGAAGGAGTTGGAGACCTGAATATCAAGCTGGCTGGAAACCTGGTAGCACTCCATCGATATGCCCACCCATCAACAATTCCCTTTAAGGTGGCCCTCAAAAGGTTCGCGTTTACGGTTGTCGACACAAACACTGCAAAGCACTCGGTCAGCCTACTCCTTACTGGCCACCGGCTTCTCCTCCTTCTGGGACATCAACACTGCCTGGATGTGGGGCAGCATACAACTCTGCCCGATCGTGATGCCATCCATCAACTTGCGCAGCTTCTCATCCTTGCGAATGGTGGCGCGGGTGATATGCGTCTTCTTGTTGTCACGCACCGCATTATCAGCCAAATCCACCACCTCAGGAGCCAGGTATTCGAGCACGGCAACCATGTGGACTGGCGCTCCAGCACCTACACGCTTGGCATAATCGCCACGACGCAGCAGACGATGCACTTGACCCATGGGAAACTGTAGACCTGCCCAAGACGACCTCGTCTTTGATTTTGCCCGTGATTTGCCGCGTTTGCCTCTCCACTCATCTCGCGACTGTCGACAGAAATATGCAATTGACCGATTGGAGCGTGAGCTGGCAGAATCGAGCACAGCCACCTGGATTAGCTTCCACACCCCATTGGTTGGCGACGACTAAGCTTACCTCCTATCTGACCTGATCACATCCTACCCCCAATGGAGACTTACTCACGGGACTCCGGGCGTGCGTAGAGTATCTCTAGGCGTGCTGCCACGGCCATTAAGAACGCAAAATACATGACTGGCTTTGACGACGGGATTGCGTCGTTGTATCCCATGTGTGGACAGATAGTAGGTGGTGGTGGTGGTAGTAGTAGTAGTAGTGGATGTTCTGATTGATTCAACGGTCCCATTTAGATCCGCATTCGACCTTATATTATTAATTGTACTACTTATTACCTGCTTCTAGTGATGAGAATGAAGTGATGCGAACAGTTGCGGTCTTTTTGATAATGGAGAGGATTGAGCATAGTTGGTATACCCGCTGATGGCGCATGGATTGTGGCGAGGTTGGCATTAGAGCCACGTTTCTGGAGACACTGGATGCTCCCCTACAGAGCGGCGCTTATGTTGGAGACGAGACAATGAGTGGTCATTGCTACTATTTTTGTCTCTTTCACCCATCCATCCATCCACCCATCCATCGTGCGATTTTGATGAGTAGGTGTGGGAGCAAGCGGTCGGGGACGCGGAATAAAATAACTTTGATAGGTCGATGTGGTAGCATGCACATACCGCATATTAAATGGCTGTTTTCATTTCATCTTAGCTTTGGATTGGTCATGTCAGATGCAGTCAATTGTTGCAGCTTCAGCTGGATAAACTGGGGATCTAATGGAAGGTGAAGTCGGTGTTGTTGTTGTTGTTGTTGTTGTTGTTTTTGGCGGTGGTGGTGGTTGTGGTGCACAAATGTGGTAAGCAATGTGGTTATGGCGCAGAACAGACGAATTGGTGCTCCCGCGCACTCCGCACGATTGGATTCCCCATCCAAAGCGAAAGTCGCTCGAGATAAATGCAGTATGGTTGAGTTGTGCCATAAATACAAGGTGAATTTGCGAATACTGTTATTTGGAGGTAATTTGAGAACTGAACGATAATGGAAGATGGGAATTCACCCATCATTCATTTCCCATAATATGGGCTGAATGATGCAAAAAATGTAAATTTATTAATGTTGAAGCAGCAAGTGAAGCCAGTACAAGAATTCGCACAGTGAAAACAGTGGACCTTGTCGAAGGTTGACGATGAGAGCATGGATGTAGGCAATAGTTAGAGAGGGGAAAACAAATTGAGAATCATGTGGGCTCGCGTACTCCAATGTTAAAGACTCAGACATTTAAAAAGAAATTAAAGTGATGAGATTATTAAGAGAAGGCATAGAGGATGAGGTGGTAGGTTCAAGGTAGGTCGGCGTGGCAAGCTTGGAGTGAGTGGGAGGGTGTTAAACTTACCTGACGCCAGTATCAGGGTGATCAGCAAGGCTCTGACCCCAGGCGGAGGCTCAGCATTGCACTCCTCTGTGTTGAAGCCTACGAGTGACTAATCGGGTTCGCTGGGATGCATAGTTTATGTCAGCGGGCAGTCTTTAGGCGTGGTTGTGATGACTATACTTGAACATATCTCGGTTGAGAGGTGGTTTGGCGCATTTGTTGCCCGTGACTTTCGGCGCTATCCTCCCCTTCCGCCTCTGGGTGATGTTCGTGGCTCTTCCCAAATTTAGGCTTCGTCAAATGACCATGGCAATAGTTTGCCACTATTAGATCATATGAGTGTGCGTCCTTATCAAGAGGTCATTAATAGATGTGACCAATCCCTTCATCCGCCCCAGCAACTCCTCACACTCCAGTCTTTAGCACATTCATTACCTCGTATCCACAATTTTGCATCTAAACCTGATGATAAAGCATGATGTCCATTATACTACCAATTAGGTGAATCACAAACGACTTC